GCTGTCTGTGGTTCTACAGTAGGCTATGGTGTAATTGAGCAATATATGAAAAAAAAAAGAACTATGAACCAGTTAATTTTTTGGAACCGTGAACTTAGTTCAAAATTTTGAATTATGAACTATGAACTGAACTAGTTCATTTTAAAATGTGTGAACTGAACTTTGAACTAGTTCACATAGAAAGAGAACTTTCCCAACACTGCCGATAGCCAAAGGTTCCTTAAAGTAGATTAACTCAAACCTTTCCACTTGAGGAGTTCTGGATATAGCATAACGACAGACGATCAATTTTTTTGAAACTTTAATGCAAAGTGTTTATATATTTATTTATTTTTTTTTTTTACAATTTTTGGATATAATTACTATCAAGGTGTGTCACTCTGACAGCTAAAGACATGTTTTAGGGTCTCTATAATCCAGCTAACAATTAACTGATAACTAAATTAAAGAATTTTTCAATAATCTATTAATCACGATTAATCCGATTAATTGTTTCATCCCTAATGTATATTCTCTCAAACTTCTGTATCTACTTTGTATTTGGTTGGTAAAGGAGGATATGTTGCCATAGATACATTATGCTTATACTATGTATTCTGTAAGGTCTTTTTTAATGTATGTATGCACTTTTTTTAAAGACGTGTGTCTCAAGTCTACAACACCATATGATTATGAAATCCACCCCACTGAACCCAAATCCTACACCCTATTCAAATAAAAGTGCATCCAAATAAAGAAATATATCAAGCAGGCAACATAACCTGTGATGGACAAAATCAACTAATTATCCCCCTGCTTACACTGCAAAAAAAGATCTAGAAATAAGTAAAAAATGTCTTAAATGAAGTGTATTTACCCTTACTTTGAGTAGGTAAATACAATGATTTGCCAATGAAATTAGTATCCTTACTCTTAAAATAAGATAATTAGATAATATGAACTTAAAATAAGACAATGCAATTGTTTTTTCTAATTTTAAATGTAAATTGTCTTGTTCCATTGGCAAAGTCTCTCCCTTTCGACCTCAATTAGAGAAAAAATGCACTAACTTGCTTTGTTTCAATACTCAGGGATGTGCAGTGGGATGGGAAACAGTTTCACATCAAATCCGATCATTTTAGACGAATTATAGGAACAGCAGACCATGGTGCACATATTGTAGGAGTGTGTAAACGCACCTGCTGTTTTAATACTCAAATCCCCAAATGTTCTCTCTGAATTTGGGATTCACACAAATTTTCCACTGTTTATCGTTTCTGAGTTTGAATATTTAAAAAAAGTACAAAAAATGTTCATCAGATGCTCATTTAGACACATGGTTGAATTATTCATGCAACATGCTGTTCAGAGAATAGCGTTCCAACCAAGGACCTTCGAAAAAAAAAATTAGCATGAGGAAGCACCTGTGCATAAATCCAGAAGATTGATGAGTGAATTAATGGCCATCCAAATGGTCATTTGCAAGTCATAAATGTTATTCACTGCTGTCAGTTAGCCTCACACCTGAATAATCACAACCTTTGAAATACAAATCAACTCATTCACCTTGATGCGTGCACTACTTCATCTCATTAATTCCAGGATTGATTTGAGGACAAACGGAAGCAAAACAAGGGTCATAATCTCAGCCTCTTATGACACTAAAAGCCCATAAAACCCACAAATACTTATTGCACTTGCTCCCCTCGGACAAACGGATATGTTCGCTTTGAGAATAATTAGAAGTCCGCATTTTTGTCTGTTGATCGGATGTATTTCTGTGCTCCGACGTTGATCCCAGAGGAAGGATTCATATGAATGCCATGTGACTCTCAGTCTGATCATCATTTGCAACATGAGTTCTTAGAGACAATAGTTTAGGAACTGATAAGACACACTTTAAAAAAAAAATTTTTGCACTATAAAAATGCAACTTTTCTTTCTTTATTACTGTGATTTTTTTTATGATTTTAAGCATGAATGTAAAAAACAAGCCAAATTCACAATATCAGTGTCAAAACAAAGCTGAGAATTTAATTTTAACAGTTTGGATGGTTAGCATGGCTATTTTAGCTCTTTCTTTGACAAATACAGCACCTTAAATACTGAAAATTTTGTCTCTGAAATTGAAACTAGTGAAAATGAGTCAAAGAAAAACAAAGAGCTGAGTGATCAAGCGGAGTGTGGGCCTAGTTGGTTAGAGCAGTGTGCTTGTGATCTGAAAGGGCTGTAAGTGCCCGGTGCGACCACCATCACCTCCACTCTGGGTCCCTGAGCAAGACCCTTAACCCTACACTGCTCCTCAAGGGAATGGGTCAAATGCAGATGTAAATTTCTCCAATTTGAGATGAATAAAGTTCAATTATTATCATTAAGTGTTTTAGACCTCATACCAGACCAAAAAAGACTTCCGAAGAATTATTAGTTTAAGCTCTCGAACAAATAATAAATTTTAAAAATAAATAAAGGTTAATTTTGTCTTTAAGTGTTTGCTTGAAGTGGCAGCAAACACTTTTGTTTCCCCTGAACACTTCTGGCTCACTTCTCACCATTCAATGACTTGTTTTAAGACTCTTTTATTATTTTCTTTTAAAAAGATAAGTATCAAGCAGGATACTTTTATACATTTATGTCTATTTGTTATAAGGTTTGGCATTTGAAATAAAACATTTTCTTCTTGACCCCAATTTAGAATATTTTGAAGGATGGATTTATAGATAAAACTATGGAGGATAAAGAATGCCAAAATTAAATAAATAAATAAAGCATTAAAATAAATAATTAAATGTGTCAATAATTAATTAAATGTGGAATTAAATAAATAAATGTGTCATTCATTAATTAAAACCACGTCACTGATATAAAGTGCCACAATTAAATAAATAAATACAGCGATATACAATTAATTAAAAAGTATAATTCATTAAATAAATAAGGAATTAAATATATAAATGTGTCATTAATTTAATAAAATACGTCTTAATTTTATTAAAAAAATATATATAATTATTTCAGTATGCATTTAATTATTTCATGGTCCTGTGTCGCAGTGCATCGAAACCATTAAAAGAATCTGTCAAACTCACCTATCAAAGTTAGGGGGCGGGGTTAACGCAAATCGAGTCTCTGTAATCGATTTGCTTCGCCTTAATGTGCAGGGTGACCAATCAGGTGTTAGATAACCGCCCCCTAACTTTGATTGACAGATTCCTTTAATGGTTTCGATGCACTGCGACACAGGACCATGAAATAATTAAATGCACACCGAAATAATTATATATATATTTTTTTTTTAATAAAATAAAGACGTATTTTATTAAATTAATGACACATTTATATATTTAATTCCTTATTTATTTAATGAATTACACATTTAATTAATTGTTTATCGCTGTATTTATTTATTGAATTGTGCCACTTTATATTAGTTTTAATTAATGAATGACACATTTATTTATTTATTTCCACATTTAATTAATTATCGACACATTAAATTATTTATTTAATGCTGTATTTATTTATTTTATTTTTGGCACTTTTTATCCTCCATATAAAAGCTACTTCAAGTTAATATTTGAGTTATTTATTTTCTTTTTATAATAATTCCTTTTTCATTTATGCTAAATGCTTTCCTTACAACAAACTACAGTAGGAATCCTCTAATATTACAATTTTATGTTTAATATCACATTTTTTGTTCTTCTGAACTTTTTCATTCAAAATGACAATCATTACAGCAAATTAGTGACAAATCCCTCCTTTAAACATCATAGATACCCACTAACATTTTAACAGAAGTTAAAGCCTTTAATCAGCAGACATAGATTCTAGAAAACTCAAAGCGTATTGAAAAAAAAATAGAAAGGGACTGATAGTTTGAAGGTTTGCATGTCTTCAGACAGGTGCAAATGTGTTTGTATGCAGAGGGCAGATATTCAGAGAATGTGCAAAGCGATTTGCATTTGTAGTTCAGCAGAAAGCATGAGCAAACCCTTTATTGCGTGTGTCTCCGTCACTATGCAGATCATATTCTAATGACCAAACCACCACCTTCATGGGTGGAGGATATGCAAATGTAAACATTTACCACAATCTGACTTTCTAAATGGGAAACTCAGCTGCAAACAGGAAATTATCATCTAATCTAGCACCTTTTTATTGTAATCTTTGAAAATCAGGGCCTAAGTTTTGTGGAAGTAGAAGGTTGAAATAGTGAGTTTGTGTTCATTCATCAACGATAAAATATGGATTATGATAAAACTAGAGCCGTCTTATTACTTTAATTCTGTTTACTATTGTATATTAGTTCCCAGAAGGAACAGAACTGATTGTTTATTTTGCAAATTAAATGATTTAATTAGAAACCACAAAACTGATAACAATAAGAACATGATTCTTTTTCTTTATGGAGCAAGAAAACAAGCAAACTCTTACAGTAGTGAATCTACATGAATGATTCTTATTTAACCAAGGCACATGATAGCAGTAACAATCAAAGCAAACAGTTCATTATAACAAAGGATTTATATGGAAAAATAATACAAAGTAAAAAAGTGAAAAAAAGGACAGAAACTCACCAATACAGTCCTGGTTGTCGACATAATGCACCTCATTCACACCCAGCCCTTCCTTTTGATACAGCTCTTGCTCCTGTAATAATAATAATAATAATAATAATAATAATAATAATAATAATAATAATAAAAAGTTAACACAGAGCAGGGGCAGATTTAGGAAATTTGGGGCCCTAGGCAAAGGCAGGCAGGGGGGCCCTCTAAATTGAGAAGACAAGACACTAAACAGAACCATTATATGGATACAGATATTTTAACATATTCGACATCCATTATCTGTTCTAGGTTGTGTCCCTCTCTTCTTGTCCCTT